GGACCCTCCAATAAGTCTATTGGAATTGGCTCTGTATCAATGGAATCTCATCATCCATACATAACGAATTGATGTGGTATATTCATATCATAATATATGAACAGTAAGAACTAGCATTCTTATTGAGACTATAACTCATAGGGAAGAAAATAGATTTATGGATGGAATCAAATATGCAGTATTTACAAACAAAAGTATTCGGTTATTGGGGAAAAATCAATATACTTCTAATGTCGAATCAGGATCAACTAGGACAGAAATAAAGCATTGGGTCGAACTCTTCTTTGGTGTCAAGGTAATAGCTATGAATAGTCATCGACTTCCGGGAAAGAGTAGAAGAATGGTAAAAATGTTCATTCATAAAAAAAGAAAAGTGGTAAGGGGTGGGGTAGGTTATAAGTTAGTATTCTAGTTCAACTAGTTTGTTTTAGCCTAATTTGACTAGGAATAGGGAGGTTGGAGTTCAAATCTTTCTTAAAACTTTTCTCTTTTTCTCTGCGAACTCGAGTACGTTGAGGAATGACTACTTCGTTCACAGCGCGAACCAACGAGCCAAAAAGTTGGCTTGTTCAAGGAGTGTCATTATTAATATTTATAATTCTGTCTTTGTTTTTTCATAGTTATATATAGACATAATACATAAATATGCCCTTTAACTTTACCTCATTTTATATTTATGTCCTCCAACTTTGAGTGTGCACAAGTAGACACTTAAATTTGTATAAAATTGAACAAATAGACACACATGTCCTATATGGCATCCTACATGACAATTTGCGTCCTACGTGGTGTCATATGTGTATTGTGCCACAAGGACTAATATGTCTACTTGTTCAACTTTATACAAGTTTAAGTGTCTATTTGTTCACACCCAAAGTTTGAGGGTATAAATGTGAAATGAGGCCAAATTAAAGGGCATATATATGTATTATGCCTTATATATATATATAGATTTCAACGAAGTAGTGTGTCCGCCCCTGCAATAGAGAACCAGAACAAAACGAACAGGAGGAGGAGAAAGAGTTCGAGAAGAGAAGGAATAATGTAGGAGAATGGGTAAAATAAAATGGATCAATATTATATTTTTAGCGGGGTGGATAAATGAGGCGGGTCATTAAACAGTTTAAATGGATATTTTTTAAGTTTTTAAATAAAATATTTATATCAGCAAATTTTAATTAAAATATCAATTTAATAGATTGAATAACTTTCTGAGAGAAGATTGAATAATTGAGTGACTTTTGAGTTAAAATTCAAAGTTAAGTGACTTTCTGAGAAAAGACTCAATAGTTGAGTTATTTTTGAGTTAAAATTCAAAATTGAGTGACTTTTTGAGAGAATAATATATAGTTGAGTGACCATATGAGATATTAACCCGTGAATTAACTATGGTAGTTAAACAGTCAACAACAATTATTGCTTTATCGTTTCATTTCCTATTGGCTAATTGACTGATGATCTAATCTGTGAATTATGTATAAACTATGGTAGTTAAACACTAAACAACAATTATTGCTTTACTAATAGTGGTAACAACTTCCTTAGTACCAAAATAACAATATCTAAGGTGTTTTGTTTCGTACTAGTGGGTACCAATGATACCTTGGGCTGAATTTTGGAACAACACTGAAAGAAAAACTTTTCTTCTGTAAACTATCATTGAAGACAAATTAATATTTATACAAGAGGTTCCTTGAGGAGTCATGTCTCCAGCTATCATTACTAAACTACACAAAACGGAACAATCCTTCTAATTTGCTATCCTAGCTAGTTAGAGTCAATGTATATTTATCCTTTACAAACATCGCCTTTCATTTGTCTGCCAGAGTGACACCTTTTCAGGTATTGTATGGGCGTCAGCCTCCTATTATTTCTCGTTATGTGTTGGGCAGTGCTGCAGATGATTTTGTCGAGAAGTACATGCTGAAGAGATGTGATGTTTTGGTGCTACTTAAGTAAGAACAAGGCTCAAGGGTGGTCAATTGAATATATTTCACCCAAATTATAAATGTGTATGTGTCAAGTATCCATTTGTACATTTTTGGCACCAACTCTACGCACAAGTCTAAAGTATTTCTTTAAAATAAAATAAAATTGCAAGAGTTGGTTGTCCAATTGGTCAAGTCTTCAAACGATAAAAGCCATACAAATTAATGTTGTTTTTTTTTTATTTTCAAGAATAGAAATTTATAAAAATATCTCTGAATAAAAAAATTGGTTAAGATGTTAAACTACAAATAGAATAGGAATATGCCCTTTAACGTGGCTTCAACAGACATCTATGTTCTCTAATTTTGGGTGTGCTTAAGTAGACACTTAAACTTGTATAAAATTAAAGAAGTAGATATGTGTCCTAAGTGACATAATATACATATAGGATACCATGTAGGATACAAAATTGTCATTACGTAGGACAAATGTGTCTATTTGTTCAATTTTATACAAGTTTAAGTGACTAGTTGCGCACACCCAAAGTTAAAGGACATAGTTGTCAGCTGAAGCCAAGTTAAGAGTCATGTTTATATATTATGTCCTTTAAATATAACTTTGAGCATCTTTTGAACCAGTTAATTAGATGTATATCTTTGCCCCCACATTTACGTTTGCAAGACTAGGTTGATTTTGGTCTTCTTCAGTTTGTCAAATCTTTAGGACCCACGTAACTTGGAAATTTTTCCTAAAACAATAATAGCCAATACAAATTAATACTCTCTTATTAAAATAAAAAATAATCTCTGAAACAAGTAAAAAGAAAATCAACTTTTCATATAAATAATTGCTAAAAGGTTAACTAAATATTTTAAGTGTGTTGCCCAACATCTTAACAAGTCAAATTATTGTTCTTTTAAGTTCAAATTTAGTTGTATTAATACTAAAATGACCATTTTCTACTGATCAATTAACTCTTTTTTCTTTGAAATCTCAAATCAGCGAGTGAAGTCCTTGAATTTTTTCAACATGCACTCTTTCATGCACGATTCTCTGCGATTTCGGAAACCTCACAGTTCTTATTTCTCTTGATTTGGGAGGCAACAGTTTCAATAAGTGTTATCTTAGCAAAAATCCCGTCCATTAAATTATAAAATCAATAAATACAATGTGTACGTAGTTTACTAAACTATCCATATTTAATAATTGTTTCTGTAAAATTAAACGCTATTAAGAAGATGAAATGTAAGGGTATAGTTGAAACAATATATTAATTTTTGTAATGAATTTCTAAAATAACACTTATTTTGGGATGATTCTTTTTGGCATGATACATAAAAATGCCCTTTAACTTGGCTTCAACGGGCATCAATCTATGTCATTCAGTGTACAAGTAGGTACTTAAACTTATATATAATTAAAAAAGTAGACACACGTCCTACGTGGCATCCTACCAGTCCTACATAGCGTCCTACGTGTATTATGCCACGTATGACATGTGTGTCTAGCTACTTGTTCAACTTTATATAAGTTTAAGTACCTACTTGTGCACATCTAAAGTTGGAGGCTACAGATACCAACTGATGCCAAGTTAAAGGGCACTTTTATGTATTATGCCAATATTTCAAAACTAAGATGACACTTATTTTGGAGGGCGGAGAGGACATAAATAATGTGGAATGTCACTAGTAGAACAGATTCATTAAGAAATTAAAAAAGGTACATGTCTATTGGTGGACAAAATGAACTGGTACTTGTGGTCGGCTAGTGGTAGATGACATTTTATTTCGTGAAATTAGTCGAGCTGTGTGAGAATTGTCCCTGATACCATGATTATAAAAAAAAAAGTGTGATTACTACTCGAAAAGAAGTGTTGAAATTGATAATAAAGAATTAGATATTTGGAAAAAGTTGTAAAGGTTAAGTTGTTCTTTTGTTAAAATGACCAGAATAACCTTTTTTTTTTTTTTAAATAAATATATAAATCTGAAAGTTCCCTTGTAAAGAAATAGAGGAACGATGTATACTTAGTGAAGAGGAAGTTACGAGTTTTATATTGGATTTTTTTTTTTAAGAATTTTTAAAAATGAAGGACAAAATAGTAAAAGACTTGGTCAAATCAAAAATGCTCATAAGCTAAAAATTAATAAGTTATGGATGACCAACTTATGACTTTTGTTGATTTTAGTTTATAAGTACTTTGAATGTTTACTAAACAAGTACATAGCTAAAAACTTATTTCTAAGTTAGTTTAACGAGCCTATAAGCTTAGTCAAACATCCCACAAATATCTCATTTTGTACTTTTTATCTCCTAAGTGAGAAGCAATAATGATCAAGAACACACGGGATGTATGTTAATTTTTTTTTGCGAGATTCTTACATGAACTATCAGGTGTTTGTATTTTTTATCTGAACTATAACCAATTATACAAGTTAACTCTTCTTTCTTTAAAATCTCAAATCATTTCGGACCCCTTTCACTTCTCGATATAGCTAGCTAGCTTGCTAGTGGACATACATTTAGTAGAAGGCAACTTGGGAAGTCTTTGGACTGATTAGAGGAATAATTTTGCCACCACATTTATGGTTGCCAAGACTTGATGTATATTTGGTCTTAACCAATTTTGTCATGTCTTTGGACCCACATAACCTGGAAAATTCCCTAAAATGATAACAGCCAATACAAATTAATGTTGTGTATTAATTTATTTTAAAAAAGAAAACGGAAAAATATACCCCTCATTAAAAATATGATGCATATATACTCTCATAGTCTAACAAATATTTTTCCAACGTATAATATAAGTTGCTAAAAGTAGCACTACATTTCACCACACAATTATAGAGAAAATAAGAGACTTTAGTTGACTTGCACAAGTTTTTGGATGATTAGGGGAATTTTCGCACCATTTTACATTTCTGATTGATTTGGTAGTATTAGTATTGATATGAATAAGTACAAGTAATTTATTTTTTTTAAAGAAAAATAATCATGTTGATCTCATTGCTATTTAAGCCTCAATACCACATGTTACTAGCCATATCATTTTTCTATTAATATTTGCACTAATGGAGAAAGCCTTCACATTTTTCCTCTTGACAATACTCTTGTTGCTTCACTATGTTATAAGCCAAACCAACATTACGACTGATCAATTAGCTCTTCTCTCTTTGAAATCCCAAATTAGTTCAGAACCTTTTCATTATTTGGATGAAAGTTGGTCTCCTGCTATTAATGTTTGTCGTTGGGTTGGAGTCACTTGTGACTACCGTCACCAGAGAGTGAAGTCCTTGAATCTTTCCGACATGGCTCTTACCGGCAGGATTCCTCGTGATTTTGGAAACCTCACATTTCTTGTTTCTCTTGATTTGGGGAGGAACAATTTCCATGGAAATTTGCCTCAAGAAATGGTACTCTTACGTCGGCTTAAGTTTCTTAAGTTAAGTTTCAACAAATTCAGAGGGGAAATTCCTTCTTGGTTTGGGTTTTTAAAACAACTTCAAGTTTTAAATCTTAAGAATAACAGTTTCACTGGTTTCATTCCCCCGTCACTCTCGAATGCCTCAAGGTTGGAGACTTTAGAAATATCTGCTAATTTACTTGAAGGAAACATCCCGGAAGAGATTGGCAATCTTCACAACCTGAAATGGTTGTCCATACAACAAAATCAGGTTACGGGTTCTATACCATTCACAATTTTCAATATTTCTAGTATCCAAGTCATTGCATTTACATACAATAGCTTATCAGGAAATCTTCCCAATGGTTTATGCAATGGTCTCCCAATACTCAAAGGGCTTTATCTATCAATGAACAAGCTTGATGGTCATATGCCTAAAAGCTTGTCAAATTGTTCACAATTGCAAACTTTGTCTCTATCCGGAAATGATTTTGATGGACGAATACATAGTGAAATTGGAAGATTGAGCAACTTGCAGACACTGTTGCTCAAATCCAACCATTTCACAGGTATGTTTTATCTTACTAGTTTCCGGACACGTGTGTGCTCATCTAAATTGACATGAATTGTTTCAAATTATCATTGTACTAAAAATAGATTTATAATTAAATTACATGTATATTGTTCATTTTCAAACAAAAAATAGTTCAACTAATTGGAATCTACTCTTGGATACCAATAACAAATTAAAATATGACAGCAAAGTATCTCTTCTCCAAATGAAATAAAAGATGATAATATTTAGTATTTTAAAATACTATAATTATAAACACAAATTAATATATGTATATTCTTATCTCATATGTTAATTACCTGCAAGACAAAGTTCAGAGAAATGAAGAAAGATGAAAAATGAATAGGATTTGATAGCCACTTCATAGAGTTAATTAAAATAATATGAAGTCTACAATTTATAATCAATATTAATTTTATTTATTATTAAGGGATCATATCAAGTATTGAATCCTACCAAATTAATTTTTTCAAAAATGAGCTTAGAATACAAAAACATAGCATCAACAAAGTGACAACTTAAAATATGAAAGGGTATCAAAAGTTGAAACATTGAATTTGTTTTTCTCAAAATGAGACACAAGGATAAATAAATAAGGATAAATATTTATATCACTATTTCTTCGGTGAATTAAAGAAGTTATTAATAATTTAATTATTTGTTACTTTCTTCATTTCAAATTATTGATTGTGTTTCAATCTTGTACACCCCTTAAGAAAAAATTGATAAAAAAATGTAGTTTTATCTATTCTATCTTACACACCCCTTACAAAATATAAACATAAATAAGACAAATATTCAAAAAAAAAGTAAATTACTAAAATTTAATTGTGTACATATTCAAAATGTTTAAATGGATTTATAAGACAAATATTTGAAGTATTTAAACTTTTTATTAGTTTATTAAGAATAGAATATTTTTAAAAATATCTATAAAATTTTAAACGATGTAACACATAATTATATTGAAAAATTGCTCAAAGTGGTAATAATAAGGTGACTTATTTAGTATATAAAATCTTTATATGTTAGTGTATATTGTATTCTACTTTTTAAATTACTTTTATCATGATTAAAACTATTATCGCCAATATGACATGAGGTTTAACAATGCATTTTAAAATATATATGCATCATATATGCATACGATGCCAATAATAACATTTACAGAAAACAAAATGGTATAAATCCTTCTTACAAATATTTATCAGATCCTAGTAATCGTGATTGAACCTGAAAAAAACCCTATTCAATTTATGTGTCAAACTGTTAATTCAAATACAATATAATTTATATATTCTTATTATAAAGCTCTAGATCTTATTAAAATGAGAATTTAGAATCAAAACATATGGACAAATGAGAATTTAGAATCAAAACATAAGGACAAATGAGAATTTAGAATCAAAACATAAGGACAAATGAGAATTTAGAATCAAAACATAAGGACAAATTAAGACAATGAATGAATGTAGTCACGATTGTAATAGGGTGTACACCAGTTTATCCTAAGAGGAAAGTTGTATGGGCTAACAGATGTTATTGGCATAACTCCTATTAAAAATCTGCAGCGTATATAAAACTTCTCAAATAAAGGTCACCTTTTTCCTCATAGTACATGAAACTTCACATGTTGTCCAAAAAGAAAATTAACAATATAATTAAAGTGTCAATTACAATAAATAGCAAAAGAAAATAGATATAATTATTGTATTACACAAATCTAAAAAAGTTGTCTAGATGATGGTATCGACAAATCACTCAAAGCAGATAACATCCTATAATAATTTACCATATGTAAGGCCAAAAAAGAATATCTTTTTCGTAAATAAAGAATGAGAATTAGCCAAATTGTTACTACATATTCTGTCTAAATGATGAAACTAACTTTACCATCTTGTAAAATAATTGGATGGATAGTTGCCATTTACCTTCGAGTAATTTGACTGTCATATGAAATTTAGTTTTTCAACTTCCTTTATCCATTTGAGGAAAAGGAGTGGTATTTATACTATTTTATAGTAGTTCAATTGGAGAAGTCTAAATTGGTTAGACTAATTTTAAATGTCCTATATTCATTTACAATGAATGTTGTGTGCATTGAATTTCATCTCTTAGAATTCTTCATGCTTTGACAAAAACGTAAAAATGTTTTGAGTAAAGTACGTGTTAGGGTTTTGCCCTGATTTTCTTACCTTATTTGAAGTTAGGTTTTCCTAAAAGAAAAGACAAAACATTACCAAAAATGTATTTACTTTTCATGAAAGGAAATATATTTTTCTTCCATATTTGGTTTATTCTTTCCTTAGAGGAAAAGTTTGGAGATCTATAAATTGAAGATCCCTATTCCCATAACACAACACACTTAGTTTATGGGGAGTTTTATTCTCTCAATAGTTTTAATATTTTGCTCTTATATTAGTTTTCATATTATGATATTATATTTTTAGTATACATTTTTGTTATCTGATTTATCAACTCTATGATTTGCAATTGTAAGATTCCGCATGACGTCCTAATCACCTCGAAAACCCAACAGTACGAGTCATTCTCATTCACATATCTTACGTAATTCCATCATTAAATAATTTAATGCACATTGAATACTTTTAAAACTGATTTCATCTATATCTAATTAGTTATTAAAATATATATTTGGTTTTGTAAAAGAATAATAATAGAAATAGTGTTTTGAAGGGTAAAAAGGTATTTTAACTTTTCATTTTGATGTTCCCATTTTTAGTTCCATTTTTAGTATGATATGATGATATATATATATGAGATGAGATGAGATATGATATGATGAATGCTGTATTGCTCTTACAGGCAATAATCTATCAGGAACTCTACCACCAAACATAGGTTCTACCTTACCCAACATTGACGGGCTTTATCTGGCTAGCTTAACCAATCTTGTTGGGACTATTCCTCATTCTATCTCCAATTGTTCAAAGCTTACTGATCTAGAGCTTTCAGATAACAAACTCACAGGATTGATTCCCAATTCTCTTGGATATTTGACTCATCTAAACTTCCTAAACTTGTGGGGAAATAATTTAACCAGTGATTCATTTTTAAGCTTCCTCACTTCCTTAACCAATTGCAGAAGATTAACAAATCTTGATCTATCTTCCAACCCTCTAAATGGCATGCTTCCGGTCTCCGTAGGGAACTTCTCCATATCTCTTATAATGTTTGATGTCAATGCTTGCAACATCAAAGGCAAGATTCCAAATGAAGTTGGAAACTTAAGCAACTTATTAGACCTTGATCTTTCTGATAATAACTTCATTGGATCAATGCCTACATCAATTCACAACTTGAGAAGCCTTCAGCACCTGGACTTGAACAACAACAAGCTTACGGGATTTATTGGAGATAATTTATGTAAATTGCAACATTTGGGAGATATTTACTTGGGTCAAAATCAACTTTCAGGATCTCTCCCTAATTGTTTAGGGAACGTTACTTCTCTTAGATTGATATATCTTGATTCCAATAAATTGAGTTCCAATATACCAACAAGCTTGGGGAATCTTAAAGATCTAATAGAGCTTCACTTATCATCAAACAACATGGTTGGTTCTTTACCTCCAGAAATTGGAAATCTAAAGGCTGCGAACCAGATAGACCTATCGATGAATCAATTCTCAAATGGAATTCCTAGAGAAATTGGAGGATTACAAAATCTGG